CTCCTCCTCCTCCTCCTTCCCCCCAACACTTAGATTTTTGTTTTCCTGCTTACTTATCAGTCGCAGGCCTGTATCATTTACTTCAATTCTTTGTTTTGTGGTAATGTTACTTCTTTGTCTTTGATAATATCCTTTCAAATGAAATCTTACTCTTGGCTTTGAATACAGTGTCAGAGTTATCCGTTTTGCGCGGTTCTTGATAGTCTTTTGTTGAGAATATCACATTTCATATTGACCCAACTTTGAAAAACTCGGCACCTCGATGGGATTCGAACCCACACAGTAGGGGGAAGGCTTTAGTACAGCCAACGCTCTAACCACTTGAGCTACGAGGCCCCGCCGGACGACGGGAGTTTAATCACATTTGGGTCAAGTTACTCGCCCAACCTACTGCAACGTCTGGAATCCACCAAATCTGATACAGTAAGGCAGGCAGGATTTCCTGGGTAATTCACCTAGAATCCACCAGATGACTACTGGGCCTACGTAATTTATATATGTTTTGGCAGATTTTGAATAATTCATATTGACGCAAGTCAAGCGCTGTTCCACACTTGAGCGCGTACGCTTGACCCATAGAAGTCGTTTGGTCGTTCTGCATCCAAGCCAAGGAGCGCCATCACGTGTGATAATGCCCAGAGACCATTTGACATCCGAGGTAGACTTAAGGGGTGCTTTTAAATAGGCAAATTTGCATTCTAGCGGAAAAGCTTTTTGACCAAAAATCGGGAGAATGGGTTTGTAGAACAACTGGGATTTCCATCTGGGATCTTTTCGTCCTCCACAGATGCTTGCCTCTCGGAGGTGCTGCTCTGGAGAAATTTTTTAGATAGACGTGAATTGCTGGACGACTTTCTGAATGTACTCTTGTATACTGGAATTCGTTGAGTGCTTCTCGGGCCAAACCCTATAAGGATTGCTTGCAAAGGGTCCGCGCGTTATTATCGTCGCTAGCGGTGACGTTCACCGCGTGAACCACAGACTGGGTGCAGGATGGTGACATGCGCGTGAACAAGTCCATAGTGAGACGGACTTGCGAAGCATCTACCTCACTCGATTCCTCATCACCCGCATACCTTCGATGACAAGGCAAACGGAGGCAGACTCGAGTACTGTCGCTGAAAAGGCCAAACAGTCCATGCACGCGTGACAGACGAAATCCGGTCCCGATTTCATGTATCAGGCGTCTGTTCAGAGCTCACCCACGTTACGAAGGAACCATTGCGCCTGACTCGCAGTTCTGAGTGAGCCGGGCTAGCTCATCATTTCATTTCAGTTTTATTAAGGGAAAGATAGGCGAACGCCTCTGAGCTCCCTACTGGTTACTAAGTATCTAGGAAGGAGCACCAACGCTTAAGGAAAATGACAAAGGTGATTGCGAAGAAGGAAACACGATCGTTAGAACAAGATTTTTATTAACGACCGTGTCCTTCGCCGCTACTTCCTGGAACTCGCCTCTCCGCTTCTATTAGCGAAAAAATGATTGCTTACATGGTTGCAGTGAAAAGCAAGCGACTGCCTTGTAAACGAAAAATGGTAAGCACTAACGTCTACTCACTTATCGCAAGTAGCATGGTAGTGTGCAAGTTCGATGACTGACGATGTGGGTGTGCTGTGGCCCTAAAGCTGGCCACGCGATAGAAGCGCTGGACCAACAGGGGCTTGATGGGGGTTCGGCGGACGTTATTGGGAATGGGCACCCATAACAAATGCCAACACGGCGAATGTGGTGACATGTCAATTTGCAGGCTGACGTTGCGCCCATTCGGCATGGCAGTGGTACGCCTAGCTGCGGTTTTCGTCGCGCCAGCCACTTGCGCCACCCTCCGCCTCTGTTTGTCTTAACTCGGTTGAGAAATCAGTCAATCGATTTATCGATCTGGCGCCGGCGTACAGAGCCCTGCATAGTCACCTCCAGTCTTGCGCTGTCGGTCGATGA